GACATTACTTTGTCAACAAAGGTCTCTCTAGTCAAAGCTATGGTTTTTTCCTGTAGTCATATATGAATGTGAGAGTTGGACTATAAAGAAAGCTAAGTGCCGAAGAATTGATGCTTTTGAACTGTGGTGTTGGAGAAGACTCTTGAGAGTCCCTTGGACTGCAAGGAGATCCAACCAGTCCATCCTAAAGGAAATCAGTCCTGGGTGTTCATTGGAAGGACTGATGTTGAAGCTGAAACTCCAATACTTTGGCCACCTGATGGGAAGAGCTGACTCATTTGAAAAGACCCTGATGCTGAGAAAGATTGAGGGCGGGAGGAGAAGGGAAGACAGAGGATGAGATGGTTGGATGGCATCACTGACTCGATGGACATGAGTTTGGGTAGACTCCGGGAGTTGATGGACAGGGAGGCCTGGCATGCTGCGGTTCACGGGGTCGCAAAGAGTCAGATACAACTGAGTGACTGAACTGAACTGAACTGAACTCACACTTGCAAGTGTGTATATTGTGAGGACCACCAATCATGAGACTGCACCCAATCTCCCTCTTCCTTTCAGTATTAGAACCCGCCCAGCTAGTGCCAGGCCCCAGCTTGGGTGGCCACCTGAACACATTTGGTCAAGAGAGTGAGAAAGGAAGCGATGTGTGCAGCGTGCAGGCATCTGGTGCCCCCAGTCCGTCACTTCACTGCTGGGAAATGACAACCACTGGAGCAACCCCTGTGGACCTGGAGCTGGAGGCCATGTGTTGAGGACAGCAGAGTCAGCTTATCACCCGAGTTTTTGGCTGACCTCAGGAAGCAGACCTGCCCTGCCAGTCCTGGACCACCCACCTCAGCTTGGTCACAGAGGACCAGAGATCAGTGTCTATCTGATTTAAAGCATGGTATGCTGGGAGCTTTCTCTTAGAGCCTTTTAGCCTGTCCCCAACTGGTCCCCATTTTCAGGTGATTATTTATCTCCCCACCAGACTGTTAGCTCCAAAAGGCATGGATGAGTCTGTGTTCTTTCATCCTTGTGTCTCTGGACCAGACAGATCACATTTAGCCAGCCCCATCTCATGTTTAGAAGTCTCTGATGAAAAAATGT